GCAAACACTATAATAATCACTTAAAATTATAATTGCATACTGTACATTTATAATATCAATCAAAATATTCTTCTTGATATCCTAAACCCAACATTGCTATTCTAGTAGAACTTTCATGGATCAACCTGAATTGTGTGACAAAAAATAAGTACATGAAAAGGTTTGTATGTTTCTCAGATAATCTCTCCTAACGCATTGTGAAAATCTTTGTCAGTTGAAATAAATTAAATAGAAAATCTTACACAACAATTGTGTACTTTCATAAATAATGTTGATAAATAAAAGTTTAATTAATAACTTCAGCCATACTGTATTGTTTCCTCTTTGTATCTGCGACGGGGAACCGAAAGCAATAGCTTACAAGGTAAACATTGCCAGGAATCTTGATATGAATAACAATTGAAACCGTCTTGACCATATCATAATAATCATGATATTACTTTTACTGATTGACCTCTGAAGTGATATGAGAAGAGTCTTATAATAACCCTGTAGATTGTTATTCAACTCCGGATTGATGGCTTCTTGCCCTGTTCAAACCTACATCTAAACCAATGGCTTCTTGCCCTGTTCATACGTACATCTAAACCAATGGCTTCTTGCGATGTTCATACGCACAACTAAACCAACGTTCTGATGGTTTCAGTTCTTGGGATAAAAGCACAAACATTCATGGTCTACATCTGAACAAACGACTATTTCATGGAATAATTATGCTAGAAAGTAGGAGGAAGACCCTCAGAGTGTTGGGACGGATGCAGAAATATCTGAATTCTTCTTTCTTTGAAGAGGCTCATCTTCCAGGGGGAGTATTTCACAAAGACTAAGATCGACTTTAAGTTGAACTAAACTATGGCAGGCCGTTCATGCCACTGTTTGCTCTACCCATCGGTCTCTCAAGGCAGCACAAATCTACAGAATTTATATTTTTTGAAAGTTTATTATTAAAGTAAAAAATATTGTCTAAAGATCACTTTTAAGATCATTTTAGGGTTTTTTCCTCTATTTTACATCTGGTTCAAGACTTTTTAAGGGCAATAATGACCTGCCATAGTTAAGTCCAACTTAAATTTGTATCTTAGTCTTTGTGAAACACCCCCCAGGAGTCACCTGATAATCTCTAGGTGAACACAACCTGGTATGAACACAACCTGGTATGAACACAACCTGGTATGAACACAGCCTGGTATGAAATCCATCTTGGTTACATTGCTATCCTACTGTGATTGGAAATTAAGTGACTGCCCACGGCACTTAATCTACTTTGGACTAAGAAAGGATTAAGGTTCTCAACAATATTCTCAAGACAGTAATAGAATATTATCAAGCAATGAAAAGCAATCTAATGTAGACCAATGCACAAGAGAGTCTCCTAATGGTTTCATATTGGTTGAGAATATAACGCAGAGCCGGAAACACTGAGGCAATAGACAAAAATAAGTTGATATTCTCACCAGAATATATCAACAATCACATCCACGCATATTCACAGAATTCTTTGAGGTCAAATAAAGCAGATTTGCAGGTTTGAAGTTTTGACTTGCAAGCACATGCAATCAAATAATGACTGACTTGGGTTTTGTTTTATGTTGGCTTACATGTACATGTAAGTAGAATAAGAGATAAGAGAAGCATATGAATAATTTGTGAAAAAATGATGTAACATTGAGAAAATATATTAATTTTTTGTTAATTCCTATTGAAGGTGCAGTTTGAAGGGATTTCCATGCTGCTTTTTCTGGTTTGTTCTTTGTTGTTTTGCTACCGGTACTTCTCGAGTGTGTGTATTACAATATTATTGTTCTGTTTACAGTTAAATATTTAGTATGTCTTTTTTAAATCAATAAAACATAAAGAAAGCAAATGATAGAACTATAATACTTTTTGAAAGTGAACCACACCCTTCTGCTTCAGAACGCTATCAACAGTAGATATGAACTCAGTATCATACCGGCCAACATTGGAAAAGAAGAAATCTGTACCATTAGCGGGGGTCTTGGGGGTGGTGGCCCCTGCAGGGGTACAGGCATACATGTGCATGTGTATTGAACATCGGTATACCGGTACAAATTCTTTGCTCAAATTCCCAAATTGCGGCACATGGTAAAAAGAGCCAAATTTGAAAAATAAGAATATTCTGAAATGTTTGGTAAAAAAAATTCAGAAAATCAGAATTTTATTGAATAAATCTGAACAATTGGCAGGTATGCAATTTAGACAGAAATTATTAATACCATTCAGGTACTTAGCAGACGTATACAACAAAGAGACTGGCCTAACCAATCTTATTCAATACATAATGTAGTTGTTCTGAGGGGCATGAACATTGGTCTAAAATGTGAAAAAGAAACCTCATTAAGAGTGTGTGAGCATAGCTTGGTTAAGTGAAATGTTGAATTGGTTAACATCAATATGTCTGTTTGGATGGAGCAAGAAGGGCATTGAACTCATCACTTTACACAGCATTAACGCCGTTGTGGCTCTCAACAGTCATTTCATTCTTCTCATAGGGTGGACTTGTTGCAATTAATAAAATGAGTTCACTTATGTGCACAACTATAAACACAACCAGAAAGGCACCCAAAAGAATATCAATGATATTGATTATATCCTAAGGGAAGAGGGGAGTCGCAGGGAGAGATATAGAGAAAGAGAGAGGGAAGGAGAGAGAGGGAAGGAAGGGGAGGGAGGGAGAGAGGGGGAGAGAGGGGGAGAAAGAGGGTGAGAGAG